GTGTGAAGAAAAAAAAGGCAAAGGAAAAATTCCATCAAAAATTAAAAAAGAAAAAACCCAGATCAGAGCTTTTTAAGAGTTAAATCCTGTAGTGAAATCCAATACAAATGTGAATCCAGGCTGGTCAGTTTCACTATTCAAAATTTTTTAGCTTCTGTGCAGAAAGTAGTTCAGAGCCCCAAAAATAAATAAATAAAAAATAAAGTAACATTGCTTTCCTTGCTTTCATTGTATAGTATTAAGTGTCAATCCAAGGATAGAATCATAATAAATTGATGGCCACCATGCTATTCATTAGCTAATAGAACTAAGTTCTATAAACTATTTGTTATTAGTTTCTTTCTAGTTATAAATTAGGTAAGGGAAAAGGAGGCAGGAGAGAATGGGGCAGTTTCTCAATCACTATTCCAGTCTTCCTCTTAATGAGATAATATAGAAACTCTGTTAGCCTTTTATAGGGCCCGAAAAAAACTATGTTCCAAAGCCTGGGAGCTGAATATGTCAAGGGCCTCATTTCCTTGCTATATTGCTAACTGACGAAGTATTTTGCTTCTACAGTATGTAATTTGGATGTTTTTAATGTTTTTATTGGTTTAACTGCTTTTACTGTTTTAAAATGCTTTTAATATTTTTAACTGTAATGTATTTTTTTAAATTGTAAGCTGCCCCAGAATCTTTGACTCCAAGGGGAGACCCAAGAAACTGAACAAACAAGTACACACAGGAAAAATAGCATCATTCTCTTTTTCTGTACTATTTTCCCAAAGAACTCCTATACTCTATATCAGGGCTTTTCAACCTTTTCACCCATTGTATCACTTTTAGGATATGGCAATATCCGAGTACCACCAGTCGCCTAGCAAGGTGTCAAAAACTTGATGACCCCCCCCAAAAAGGAAAAAAGTGATAAAGTACAGGTAGTCCTCGATTTACAACAGTTCGCTTAGTGACTGTTCGAAGTTACAATGGCACTGAAAAAAGTGCCCCCCAAGCCACAGCCGAGCAAGACACCTGCCTGCCCACCCGGCGGCGCTCTTCCTCCTGTCCGAGGTTTTCATTGTTGTGAGCATTTCTGTTGAGGATTGGCAGTGGGGGTGGGGTGGGGGAGTGTTTGGTTTTTATTCCCCCCATCTGCTGGGTGGTTGCAGCAGGTTTTGGTCACCTCACATGACCCTGGGACACTGTGACCGTCATAAATATGAATCAGTTGCCAAGCATCTGAATGTAAATCACAAGAGGCTGCAACATTCCAGCTGATCGGCGCTTCTTCTGGGCTCAGCAGAAGCGCCAGGATCAGTGCTGCTTTCCAGCTGATTGGTGCTTCTTCAGGGCTCAGCAGAAGCACCAGGATCAGCGCCGAGCTCCAGCTGGAGCCTGGCGCTGATCCTGGCGCTTCCATTGAACCCTGATAGCCCCAAAGAAGCGCCGATCAGCTGGAAAGCGGCACTGATCCTGGCGCTTCCGCTGAGTCCTGACAGCCCTGCAGCTCCAGCCATCTCTTGCTCAGGCTTGTGTGGTGCTGCCACCGGTTCAGTTCATTCCCCTCCCCCGCTACTTTTCTAGGATGGCCGTGTACCACCTGCCAGGTGCCAATGTACCACAGGTGGTACCCGTACCACTGGTTGAAAAGCCCTGCCTATATTATATTGTATTGTAAACCAAGCCGCCTAGAGTCGCTTGGTAGAGAGATAGGCAGCATACAAATTTAATAAGTAGGTAGGTAGACAGACAGACAGACAGACAGACAGTTACAAAAGGCAATACTTTACAAAGTAGTAGTTAAGTACGGTAAATTATATCAGCACTCCAGTTTTAGATATTGCATACAGAAAAGCTATTCTAGCTTCGATCCATTTCTCTGTAAGGAAGGGGATTTGAGGTGTATTAAATAAATCAAGACCCAGATATCCACTAGGAAGTATGATTCCTCATAATCTTATATTTAAATCTTATTAAATCTGAAATCTATCAACACAAGCTAGAATTTCTGTGAAGGAAAATGTCTTTTCTAAAAGATGATACACCTTCTTCATCAGTGCAGGTGCACTCAATTAAAGCTATCTATTTTGAGAGCTGTGCTTATCAGCCACCAGTGAGAGCATAAACTTGGCAATAAAATGTGTTCCCTCAGCTTGAAAAGGGGTGGCTCATCTTGTTTCTTAAGATAGCAGCTGCATTACAGGAGGAAAATCTATTAAATGGAAAGCAAAGATTGTACAATCTATCTAAATGCTTAAATAACTGTAAAAGTACTGACATACATAAATGGCACAAAATATGTATATTGTCTTTCATACTTTCCTCCTCGAAATCTTACTTGTGTAAAATGCTAGCGTTTAATTGCTGGTCTAAATTTTACATTTGATATCCAATCATTTAGAACTAGATCATGCTGATCAGCAAAGAAACATCTTTATGTTTCATAGCAATCTGTGAACAGTAAGTTAAACCCTATAAAATATGTACACATACTATATATACATCAATTACACATATATGTAAAATATAGGAACAGGCATGAATATGACATCATTGTGATTCTTACAAATTTACTTGGACTGAGAGATAATTTGTGATTCTCTCTAAAACAGAGATTTCTTTATACAGAATTTTCAGTTTCAAGCTTATATTTTTCCTACTTTCTATGGAGGTATCAAGATTTATTGCATGAAAGTAGATAGGATATGAATTTTCTCCCGCTCAATCAGACTATTACACTGTATAAAATACATAATTCTTATTTAACTGTTTATAAACAGTTTAACTTATATAAACAGGAAGCAACCCACACAGTCACTAGCACTGATGATGTTACCTAGATGGGTAATGAAAATGTCTCCAAACAAACTCAGAGATTACACCAAGGATGCCATAGTTGTTACTCATACTGCATCTAGTATCATAGAACATAATTAATTTTTAGAGAGTATTTTACTTTGAGGCATGAAAAATCCTATGTATTCCCTCGAAGGTTACAATAGTATTACGTTAATTTTTCATACTTTCCTCGTTACTCACTGAAATAGTTCTTTTACAAGCATAAGCATTGGGAAAATACATCTGGACTGTCTTTTGCTCTGATTTCAAAAGCAATTACCTGCAGAATATACAGGTAAAATGGTATCTCATTGATCTCATTCAGGAGCTCCATAGTTTTATAGTTCCACGTTCTTCATAGGTGCTGCTTCTGATAAGCTCTAAAGGAGGTGGGTACATCAGATTTCAAGGGATCCAGCTCTGGCACAGCTTTGTGCCTGACTACATTGGTGTTTGTAGTGATACTGGAAATACTTGGAAGGGACTTATTGCATGAGTTTTAGCAAGGAACCCTGGTGGTTTTTTTTTTCCTGTGTGAAACTGTTACCCTTACGAAATTAAATATTAACATTCTTAACTGAAGCATGAATATATTTTTCCTTTAGACTTTTTAAAGAATTTTATATTAATTTGATACTCTCTATCCTAAAACTTTGTAGAAAGTTTTGTAATTGGCCAGTGGCCTCTTGCGGTCTACTTAATCACATTATCTGTTCCATTTTATCCCTTTTTTTCAATTTACTGTTTTTCCTCAATTCTACATGTTGCAATTTATCTAATTCACTATTAAATATAAAAAAAGATACTTTAATATGTTTTTGTTAAAGTTTAATCTTGATTATCTCTCACAAGGTGATTTATATCCCAACAGATGAAGGAAAGTCTGAAACGTTACAAGTCTCTATGCCATACAACTAAGAGATACATGACCACGGGAATGCTGCATCTGTCATAAATGTGAAAAACTGTCATCTTTTCAGTGCTGTTGTAACTTTGAATGGTCACTAAATGAACTGCTGTAAGTCGAGGACTACCTGCGTGTAATTGTCAGCCTTATTAGGTAAACCAGACAGGAAGAGAAACCAGATGGGCTAATTCTTCTTTATTGTAAAACTATCTAAACAGAATCTTGCAAGTCTGAAAGTACTCGTTTTTCCATGTTCCCTTTAAATTCCAAAAATAAGGGAGGGTCATTTCTAAGCCTCTTGCCCTCTTGCCTTGCCCACATTCCAGCTGAGAGCCCAGCTGCCTTTTATTTGACCAGTTTCTTAGATGGGTCCCTTTATCCTGCCTCCCAAGATCATGCCCACATACCAGTGGTGGCAAACCTATGGCACGGGTGCCAGAGGCGGCACTCAGAGCCCTCTCTGTGGGCACGCGCACCGTCACCCCAGTCCTAGGCCTTCAGCTGGGTTTTATAAAACCTTTTTGCTTTAGGCCTCCACTGCCGTGTGCAAAAAAAAAAAAAAAGGTTTAATCAGTCAATTTCAACTTCTTGCGGGGAAAAAAAATCTTGCAAAGTTGGAATTGATTGGAATTGAACTTTTTAGTCCCACCCAGTCTGCCGTTACTACCGCAGCCACGCCCACCCAATGGGTCACACCCAGCCAATGGGCCACACCCACCTGGCACCTGACGATGTATAAGTGGGTTTTGGGATGCAGTTTGGGCACTCGGTCTTTAAAAGGTTCGCCATCACTGCCACATACCATTACAATAAGTTAAAGGGGAGAGTATTTTGCTTTCAGTATTTCATCCTTCTGAAAAAAATATTAGTTTTCCAAAAATTCCCAATGAATTTTAATTTATAAATACTTTGTAGAAATTCCCCCAAAGTGCGTCTACCAATGTTTGATTTCTTTGATAGTACTTGAAATACAATTAGTATCATTTTTTAAAAAAACTGACAATACTATAGTTTGTCGGAAATTATTCCCACAGAAACCTTATTGAAAATAAGCAAAATCTGTATAATATTAAGTTCAACCCACAGGATTGAATTGAGGATAAGTTACCTACTCAGTGAGTCTATGAAGGATCTTTTCATATACAGAATGTTCACAATGTGCGTATATTCTCACACATTTTGTTTACCTTGGTCTGAAATGATGCAAAAATGCAGCACTGAATACAAATGTAGATTAATAGCCCTGAGTATAGATCAATAACATGGAGATATTTACCTGTGTGTCAGTCTCCGGTGGCTAATGCAAACAGCTGTTTGTTGATCTTGTGCAATGCATACCTTATGACGAGTACATTTCATCTTTAAGCATGGATCTTTAGCTGGGTCTAGAGCTAAAAACAATTGTAGAGAATATTTTAAAAAAAACACCTTTTCTACAGATATACAGATATGTTAGTATTAATTATTCATTTTAATAAGCGAAGTATTCATAAATTAGTGCAGTGGTGGCGAACCTATGGTACGGGTGCCAGAGGCGGCACTCAGAGCCCTCTCTGTGGGCACGCACGCCATCGCCCCAGTCCTAGGCCTTCAGCTGGGTTTTATAAGACCTTTTCGCTTTAGGCCTCCGCCACCGTGTGCAAAAAAAAAAAAAAGGTTCAATCAATCAGTCAATTTCAACTTCTCGCGGAAAAAAAAAGATCTTGCAAAGTTGGAATTGATTGATTGAACTTTTTAGTCCCACCCAGTTTGCCGTTACCACCGCAGCCACGCCCACCCAATGGGCCACACCCACCCAATGGGCCACACCCACCCGGCACCCGACGATGCATAAGTGGGTTTTGGGTTGCAGTTTGGGCACTCGGTCTCTAAAAGGTTTGCCATCACTGAATTAGTGATTAAGCATCACCTGTACATCTGCCAAAAGTAAAAAGAAACATCCACGCTACTCCTTTTTTAATGTTAAAATAAGTATTCAAATTAATATTCTAATATATTTTTCATGTTCTTACATATAGGAACTAAAATAATCTGAATCTGTTTAGATCATTATTGATAAATTTACATTTTCTTATAAAATTTCAACTTCAGCACTGAAAAACCAAATGGGAACAAGCAGCTACAGTAACTGTCATTGTATTTACACCAGCTAGCTTACTATAGGTTTAGAGCCAGTATAGAACAAAATTAAGATTGTAGTAGCAGCTGCATCTTCTTCACCTTCATCTCCTCCTTGCTAAATATGAATCTTCCCACCTCCGCCCTATAATAAAGCTTACAGTAACTAACTTGTTTTATAATCTGTTTTAAACTTAGAGAAACTTTGCTTTCTGAATCAAATCCTTCTTTCGCAGAAAGCAAACTCAAAAGTAACTTGGGCAAGAAACAGACTTAGTATCAGAGGTGTACAGTAGTGGCCAAAATTGTGGAAACCTTTTGGAAAAAGTGTACAGTAGAAATGCCACCTTTGGTTAAGTTTCCACCAATTTTTCTTCTACTTTCTTTATAACTGTAGCCTTGTTCACTTAATAATACTATTTTACATCGCTTTCTGGGCAACCACTCAACTTTACTTTAATTTTATTACATTTTACAAGCTCACTAAATGAAAGAACACAAAAAAACCAACCAATGTGATAGCGATCACATAACACAGTGACAAATGTCCTCCTCTCAGCTTCAATACATGACATCAATAACTGAATCCTACTGTGATCTGATTGGCTCATTGCTAAAACAAGATGACATCTGATTGGCTCTTTAAACACACATGCTCATTGGCTATAATCAATTGAAGGAAAGCTACCTGATATCAATCTAAGCAAGTTGTGCTTCCTTTTTCTGGTTATTTGGCTATAACTTTTCATAGAATACAGTACAGATAATTGAACAAACTATGTTGCATCGTATTCTTGATTAAATTATCTTTCCATTGATATATAATTTTATGGTACTACTGCAAAAAGAAAGTGGTGTTATTAGCCATCAAACCTCAAAAATACACTTTTCCCAAAAGGTTTCCACAATTTTGGCCACTACTGTATGTCTGAAATCCACATGCCAAATCCTATTTTTCCTCCAAAGCAAAACAAAATACTAATTACAAAGAAGACAAATGGCTAGTATTCAATGAAACTGCATTATATATCATTCCCAAAAGTATACACAGAGATTACACAAAAGAAACAACTATATCCAATATTTTTTTTAAAAAAAAACTGCTCAGTTTCCAAAGACACTTCTTAAATCCCCAGGATATCTGCTAGCTTATTGATTATGTATTAAAATAAAGACCTGGCTTGCAGCCATCTACCATTTTTTTTATTTTGCAAGAATGCCTCTTGACCCACGGAGCATTATTTATAAAACTAGTTTGAAGACTGATAGAGTTAAGGCCTTATCACTAAGTGCTTTCTTCAGACATTAATTGCTAATGGAGGGAGGAAACAAAATGGGATTTTACACACATGTATTTTATTCATTTTACATTTATATAATATGGGAATGTAATTTAATGCATGCAGAAAAGCATATACCATTAGACAAAAATTGAACTCTATTGATCAAGATCACTTAAATCAATGCTCTACGTTAATTCATTTTCAGCAAGCTAAAGTTCTTGCTTTCTTAGTCAAATGTGATTCCAAAAAATTACAAATGATGAAAATATTATGAGTGGACGGCAAATAAACACCGTACAAAATTATTGCCGGTGTTGGTTGAAAGTCTGGTAAAAGTCACAATAAGAATACACGTAGTCCTTGACTTATGACCACAATTGAGCTTAATATTTCTGTTGCTAAGTTGCTAACATTTGTTAAGTGAATTTTGCCCCATTTTATGATCTTTCTTGCCAGCGTTGTTAAATGAATCACTGCAGTTGTTAAGTTAGTAACACAGTTGTTAAGTCAATCTGGCCTTCCCATTGACTTTGCTTGTCAGAAGGTTGCAAATGGTGATCACATAACCCAAGACACTGCAACTGTCATAAATATGACTCAGTTGCCAAGCATCCAATTGAGATCACATGACCATTGGATGCTGCAATGGTCGTAAGTCTGAAAAACAGTCATAAATTCCATTTTTTCAGTGCCATTTTAACATTGAACAGTTACTAAATGAACCATTAGTAAGTCGAGAACTACTTTTACACGGATGTTGCATGTGTTATGATGCAAATTAATCAAATTATTTAATTATAACATTTTTATGGAAAAAACCCTCTAAAGACACAACTGGCATCATTATACATGTCACTTCACTATGCCTGCCAACATCAGAGCTGCAGCCATTACCAGTGGATGCCTATGACATCATCTATGTATTCAGAAATCCTATGTTTCATACCCAAATGTAAGAATGCCTAATTATATATAAAACAAATGAAAATATTCTTATACAACCTATCTTGACAAATCATAATTGACTTAGGAATGAGACAATCTAATAAACCTGCTTTAAATTGCTGTAAATCATCAACCGTCTTGTTAAAAGTCAAAAGTCTATGTGGGATACACAGAGAATAATAAAATATGGGAAGGACTATCTATAGAAAAGCTGCCTTATATATATACTGCATCCAAACCCTGGTTTATCTGTTAAAGGATAAAGATTCAACTTGGACTGAGGAGGTTCAGATTTCAATCTACTTGAGAAGATACAAATTTAATTCTAAACCTAAAGTTTGATACTACGGTACAACAATGCTTTGTTTTGGGTTAATATTTCCTAAAGGGCTGATGTTTGAAAATAAAATCAGGGAAGATAACTATACCTATCACCAAATCAGGAACGATAACTATACCTACCACCTGTCAGAATCCAATTATATTTCATTTCTATCTACCTACTCTGATATAAAACCAATTCTTACTCTCTTCTGGATTCTGTCATACTATGGAAGGGGAGGAGGGTAAGCATGGGGGTTTTATGACTGTCACTTCCTTCATTAACTACAAAGTGACCGGGTGTTTATTCTCTTCGAGAGGACTAACCATAACAATGCGGCCATCGCCTTCCATCCTACTCCCTCTGAAGTTCTCCTCTTTGCAGTGAGGAAAAAAAAAAAGGGGGGGGGGTAAATGCAATGCCTGGGATCTGGGAAAAGAGAGAATGAGTGATCGTGCCGACGGAGCAGACTGATGGATTGAATCGCCTGGAAGAACTGTGGGGTGGGGGCTGCTTGGGAACACTTTAAAACATTGAATGGTGGGAGAGGATCCCCCAGATCCTGTCTAGCATGCCTGCAATCAGTTTCTCTTAATAAAGATTCCTGTTGGAAGAGACATTCCAAGAGTTCTGTCTTCTTAAGAAGTAAATTGACAAGTAAAATATAATATACAAATTAGATGTAAACAAATTAAACTGTCATTCATATAATCAATCATGTTGTGTCTTCCCATTTAATCTTCTCAAGGTTAAACATAACCAGTTCTTTCTCTTCATAGGCTTAATTTTTAGTGCTCTGATCATCCTTGTTGTTAGGGTGATGAATAGAAGTGGACAAATTTCTATGCCTTTCGATCTTACTGTGAGATAACTACATGGAGTGTGTTAAGCTACACCAAAAGACAAACATTGCAAACTAAAAGAAAAGTGTTGTTACAAAACTGCTTAACGTGATTTTGGCTTCAGTATAAAAAAATTAAATTATTGTAATATATTCCAAGTAGGACTATCCCATAAAACTATTTAACAGCATTAAGTTGTACCTAACACAAATTCTAAAAAATGAATGAGGAAAGAACATGAACTCAATGAACACAAGGCTATGTCAGCAAGCTCTTAGATACTCATTAAAATGCAAGGTTAGTTATTTACTATATTCTTTAAATATATTCAGAAATATTTGTATTTATTGAAGTCTGTATTCAGGAAACAAGAGTAGAACTTGGGCATGCACAATGATATATAGACAACCAGGAGTAGTCTGCAAAGCAGCCAGTGCAGGTGATTTAATGATTTGAAAATGTATTGCTTTTTATGCCAACTGCAGTATAACCATTGCAAAGAGCTTCTTTCAAATGTTTTGCATTTCATGAGGCCTCCTGAATACAAATACTTTGCCTGTTTGCCTTGGATTCAAAAGACCGGGTAAGTAACTTGCAAAATAAATACTCCCACTTTACATGCTTGTAGAGAACAGCTTGTATTTCCCAATATCCTGTTCAGTTTTGTATTCTGACTCCATTAAGCCAAGCCCGGTGAAAATGTATGGAGGGTATTAAAGAGGGGAAGATTGATATAGACTAAAAGCCTAATTAAGAATGAAATCTAAACTTCTGACAAGATGACTCCTTAGTTTATAAACCATCTTTTGGTTAGCTTTTTGAAAAGCCATAAGCCTTGGTGCATCTTTTCTTCAAAGAGGTAAATGATTTAATGATAGTTT